CCAAAGGTGTTGTAATTGGCCCAGTTGTTGTCCCCCTCTGGGTAGTCTGCTCTGCTGCCCTGCTGACTGGACCAGCGATCGCCCACCGTGCACTTCCCAGCCATGTTGTTCTCGTGCACACTGGCCACCAGGGTCCAGCCACCACCCTCAGTGGTCATGTCACAGAAGGTCTGGTAGATGACACCATTCTTGGTGCGCAGGAAATACAAGCCGTCTGTAGAGAGAAGCAGCCAGAGACTCCCTGTCTGAGGGCTCATGGGCCATCTCAGCTCCATGACCAGAGAGGCCTTTGAACCAGAAACATGGGCTGGAGGCTCCTCCCTGAGTCCTCTCACCAGGTGGTCCTGGGGGTCCTAGAATTCCCCTGAGCTCAGAAGATCAGGCTCCTTTCACTGAGGCAGAACACAGATTTGCCAAACTCCTAGTGGCCAATGACATTCCTTATCCAGTTACACATGGAATTATCATATGACTCAGGAAGTCCACTGCTGGGTATGTACCCTTTGCACTGGGAACAGGAACTCAAACAGAAGCTTGTGCACCAGTGTGCACTGCAGTGAGAGTCACAGGACCAAAGGTAGAAACAACCCAAATATTCACCACTGCATGCATAACTACAATGTTGGGGTTGGGTGTGTACATGTAGATACACACATTGGATAGAAATGAATACAGTATCCAGCCTGTAACCTTGCTCAACCTTGAAAACACTATGCCAGATGAAATAAGGTAGGCACAGAAAGACAAATACAGTGTGATTCTGCCTACATAAGGTGACTGAACAGCAAATTCATAGTGACACAAAGAAAGAGGCGCTTTGAGCAGGGGCTGGGTAAGGAGGACGTGGGACTATGGCTGATGGGTACACAGTCTCTGTGTGGGATAACGAGAAGTTCCCTAGATGGACAGTGGTGGTGGCCGCATGACATTGGAAGGTCATTAATGCCACTGAATTGTACAGTAAAGTTACCTAAAATGGAAAATCTTATGAAAGGTATACATTTTACCACAATATTTTTTAACATTAACAAGCATTCCCAGGACACAGAATCCTGAGTGCCCTGGTGGTGCTCTGATTAAACGTGTCCTCACTCACCACGTGCACGGGGGCACTCCGCTTTGATTTCCTTGCAGCTTCTGAACTGAGATGGAGACCAAGAAGAACAGGTCCGCTCCTTGTCGGAAGAATTGGCGTCCCCTAGAGAATATGCACAGTTTTACTCCCATTGCTGGTTTGTCATGAATCCCAGCCTCTCCTTGTCACTAGTCCCAAACTCTGCACCCGGCCTCCCCCCACCCCCTCCCCATAGCAGAGCTGCATTACCTGTGAGCAGGGCTCAGAGGTGTCCATTCATTCAGCCTGTTGACCCAACACCCAGCACAGGCTTGATGCAGGCCTCACTGCACATGACTTTACCCTCACCAGCCCTGCCCTAAGCACTGGGCAGTCAAAGAAATCACATTCTCCCCAAAAGCTGCCCATCCAGGGGGTTGCTGACAAGTCAATAGAATATCACATTGAGAAGAATAAATGATGAGAGGGAGACAAACTCAGGACAAAAGCAAGACTCCGCTGTGACTATGGAGAATGGAGAGGCCAGAATGGAGAGGCAGGGGGTTGTCTGGAGTAAGATGCTGGGGAGGTGGGGGTGTCTCATGTCCTAGTCACAGAAGGCCTCCCAGTCCAGGTGACACTTTAGCATATTCTGAGAGAATAAACAGGATTTATCAATAAGAAGAAGGAGAAGAAATTCAAGGCAGGGAGAATGGCATGTCCAAAAGCCTCGAGGAAAAAGAAACACAGCATAGTATGGCTTATTGAAGAAAAGTGAGTAGCTGGGCGGCACCTGTGGCTCAGTGAGTAGGGCGCTGGCCCCATAGACTGAGTTGGCAGATTCGAAC